CTAATTTAAATTGAGCTTTGGTTTAAATATATTTAAAAAAAATATAGATTTTATACGGTAAGTACGAAGTTTTATATGTAATGATTTTAACCTCGTCACAATACCCCACTTTACCTTATGTACAATAAAAAAAGTGATTAATATTTAATTATGCGATTGAATTGACGCACTATAATAAATGGGAGATCTTTTAATTATCTTGTTGCACAAATACTACATAATGTCTAGCATTCCGTACAATCGGGTCGGGTCAGGTTTGGAGTTATCTCGTAACCAACCCAGGTTACGACCTGGGTTTGCAAATTTGCAAATCTTCCAAATAAATAATACTATTTTGTATTTGGTATTGATTAAAACATTATGCGAAGTTTATATGCAATTGTAAATAAATTGACCATAGAATTTGAAAATTAAAATTTTCTAAATAAAGCTATTTGATAAGAATTAATAGATTAATATTCTGATGACTTTACGCTTTGGCAATCTAATCTATTTTTACTATGCAATTTCCGGATATTAATGGTTGGAGGTCAGTTTGGTAAAAGTAAGTTCAAGTTCTAATTGAGGAAATTTATTTGACATTTTTAAAAATATATAATCACACGTTACTATAACGATAAATAAAAACAATTTCTTTTTCTTTTAATTTTTATTTATTTATTTTTTTTTCTTTTATTAATTGCCCAATATTACGTAGCGATAGTTTATTTTTAATTTATTTATTTATTATTTTTTTTAATAGTGAGGCCTGGCCTTGGTCTTTATTAATAATTATGTGTTACATTGTTAAAATGGATTACATTAATTATTACAGAAACCTAGGACTAATTTATCCTCGGCCCAAAACTCTACTGGAGTGGGCTAACAAGTCACCGCCAGATTTAGTGTTGCAATGTAGGATGTGGATATGTTAGTAACGGAGAATATATTTGTTCATTTGTTATATTTGACTATGCTAATATGGTTGGTTAGTAAAGGTGGTGTGGGGGTGTGATAGTAATAGTGTTATCTAGTTTCCTGTTCTGGCGTATAGACTTGCAACGTTCTATCCATATATGCTTGTGGATGTTGGTAGATATTTTGTGAAGTAGTTTGATGAAGGTCCGTGGTGAACTGGCGACGAATGTTGTTTAGGATAAGTCCTTGTAATAGCAAGTCATTTGATGAGTGTTGGTTGTGAAGAAGGTGCGTATGAGCATTGAAGTGTCAGGTGGTTTGAGATCATGCTTGTTATTGCATCACTTATAAGTTGGTACTGATTTGCAGGACAAGTTAACCAGTGGGTGTTATCCTCTCCTCAATGTCACAGTTAGTTTATTTTTAATTTATTTACGTCAATAGTTTATTTTTTATTACGTAATTACATACGCCCAATTAACCCGGGTCATGTACTAATCAAATGTGATCGAGTTATCGAACGGGTTGATCAGTACAACCCCGTTCGATTAAGGGCACTAATAAAATCTATGTATATATATATACGTATATACGTATATATGAATTCATTCTTCACAAAAGGAGTCGTTTTATATACATTCTATCTTTTAATAAAATTTATTTGAATTTCTTAATATAATTTGTTAAAAAAAAAATTGAAAAATTTAAATAAAGTAATTTTTTATATTGTTGTCCAAGCAAGTTTTTTGATAATAAATTGTCATAGTAATTATACAAGGCCAAATGCTAGTATTGCTGAACCATATCCCACAATTTTTGAAGAAACGTATCCAGGAACTAATAAATTGGATTTCTTAGTATTTGGTGATTGGGGATATCAAGGTATCGACTCTAAACAATCAGTTGTTGCGTCAGCAATGAAAATCTGGGCAGATAACAATAATACTACGTTTATTCTTTCTCTTGGTGGTATTTTATCAGATCATTCAAAATTTTTCTTATTATGAATCTTAACTTTATATACTTTATATAAAATTAAAAAATAATACATATTTATATTATTTATATTGCTTATATTGTTTGAAAAGATAATTTTTATACAAGTAATGCATCAGATCACGAAGGAGTTGATTCAATTTATGATCCTAAATGGAAGTCTAGTTGGCTTGATGTTTATGGTGGTAAATTAAAAAAACTTGTTTGGTATACCGTTGCAGGAAATCATGATTGGTTTGTTAAATCTTTTTCAAAAATTTCAAATTTCTAAATTTTCTAGTCGCATTAACAAAAATTATCACACTGTAACAGACAATTTCTACTTTATTAATAATAGGTATACAAACGTAACAGCGGAAGTTGACTACTTTTGGAAAATAGATCAAAGATTCTTCCTTCCATCACTTTATTATGTGCGTACCGTAACATTCGGTTCTAGAAAATTTAATGTTTCATTTATTCATATCGACACAGATCCCTTCTATTACCCTTATGATAATCTATCTGATGCTGATAACTTAAAAGCGTACTTGTTAGCATTAGGTTTACATACTCCTGATGCAATTGAAACAATGTTAAAATGGATAGAACAACAACTTATAAATCTTCAACATTCTAAATGGATTTTTGTTGTTGGTCATCATCCCTTAATAGCTGGTAATTGTTCTTCTATTTATTATATGTCTAGATTACCTCCTCTTTTTGAAAAATATAATGTGTCTGCTTATCTTGCCGGTCACGTTCACAAACTTGAATATCAACAAGTTAATTCTACTTCTCATGTTGCCTATTTTACTACCGGTGCCGGTAGTAAAACCCAATTTGAGGGTTGTGATGGTGCTAGTTGGTTCATGCCTGGTGGCGGTGCTGAGGGAACCAGGGGGTTTTTACATATTTGGATTCAAGAAGACGGTGAAAAGTTATTGTTTGAATTTATTAATTCTACTATTGCTGATAAACTGCCTGTTTCAGTTTATCAAGGTTCTCTTAATCCTCGTGTTTTACCTTAAAATGTTTGTAATTTTTCCTTTTAGGACTCTTTTAATGATTGCATTCGTTCTTGTATTTTTGTCTTGATTTTATTTTTATGTCTCTCACTTAAATCTTAAATCATGTTTATGTATATAATCAACTAAATAATAATTTGTTTTCCACTTATTCTCATGTTTATTTATTCATGTAACCTGCATGATATGACAAACGACACCTACTGATCAGAAAGATTCGTTTTTATACTAGAGTTTGTAGAATAATTATATCTTTTTTTTTTTTTATTGCTAAAAAATATTTTGATACATATTTCGAAAGCTTTATTAAGGCAGAATTTTGAATGATGAAGTTTGAAAAAAAAATATTGATTCTGTTATTCTTTTTAGTTATTTGAAATAACTTTGATATGTAATTTAGTAACTTTTGTGATTTTGATAATTTAAAAAAACTTAAGCATTATTGTTGATGTCGGTTAAATTGAAAATGATAGTTAACATATATGTATCATATATATGTATGTATGGAAAAGTCATAATCATCAGAATAATGTACTATTTGATAGTAAAGTGTTATTTGTTGAATGTTCTTGAACCATTTTCAATTTTGATTACCTATGTTGTTTATTTGTTTATTTATGTTGCATGATTTTTTTTACTATTTCTTGCATTTGTGCAGGAGATCAGCAATCGAAATATTAGCCAGAGTTATTTGTTCAATTAACAGTGTTTTTAATAGATTTAGATGTGTTTTTATAGATAAAATTGCATTTCTGACATCTTTAATCAGTGCATCTAGTTTTAGACTACCGTTTTTCATATTTTCGTGATTTCAATGTTTTTTGCTGTCTGAAATGATCTTTATAACCTGCATGATCCTGCATAATTCTGCATAACGCTGGCCATTTTTCAAAAAATTTGTACTGCTGTTATCTATAAAAGAGGTCGTCTAAAGCGATGCAGAATCACATATCTGTGTGAGTCTCTGTTTGGTTAGATTAGTTATAGATATGGTTAGAGTTCATATAATTCTGAATTGGCTTAATCTCAACTAAACAAAGGCAGGATAGTGAATAATAATTTGTTAATGCTGAATTATAAAAAATAAAAATTATATAATATAATTTTTTATTTTTATATTTTTATATTAAATGATCTCATGGATCTTATATATATATTTTTTAATATTAAGGTGACTACTTGAGGGTCCGACATGCTTTATTTAACAATAGTTTAAATGTCAATTTGGTCATATTGATCTTACCTGATTTTGTTATATCAAAAAGAATATAATTAGCACATATACAACTTTAGTTATTATTTATTTAAAAGTTTTGCTATATTTATTTTTATTTATAGTTATTTACTAATTGTTATATTTAAGATCTGCATATATATCTTCTATTAAACCTTTAATTTACTTCACACCATCAGATATTTTTTAATGAATATTGTTGCTAAGACTCTTTAGAATTACTTTATCTTCATAATAAACCTACCAGTATAACTATATTATATATATATATTATCTAGATATTTAGTAACTTATGTCTTGACTATAGCAAAATACTTGTAATTTTTTATCTTTGCTATTATTATCTATTCTACATTAATGTTTCTATAAACTTAACTAAACTTTTAATTAAATTTAAGTTTAGTTTAAATGAAATAAACTATACTTTTAGTTAAGTTAAAGTTTAGTTCAAAATTAAATTGAATTTGATTTAATTATTTTTTAAAAAAGTTCAGTTTGAGGGTATAGTAACCTAATGTAGTTAGTAGGTTGTTGCTCTCAAGTAGCAAAACAAGAGTTCAAATTCTACTAGTAACAAAATTTGAATTTACAGAATATATTATAATGAACTATATATAAATTGACAAGTTAACTTCTATAACTTTATTACACTAGAAGGTCACAGAACAATAGTATGATATATAAGTTATACAAATTTGAGTAAAGCAGCCAAATAAATCTAAGGGCTTAGTGTATATAAAAGTCTGCTTGGCAAGTTCTAAGTAAAAAAGTAATATAGATCTTTAACAGTACTATATAAAGGATGATTATTAGAAACTAAAAATTAGTAGTAAACTAAATAAAGATCAAGTATTTGACAAGATACTACACTAACCAAACTGTTAAAAAATTAGTAAAAAAGAAATTCAATTAGTATACTAGAAGATATTTATTAGTTTCTTCTAGGCTATTTAAATTAGAAGTTTAGAATGCTATTAAATAATATCAAAGTACTTTTAATAATTTGTAAATTATATACTAAAGTTTGGGTAAACTTTATAAAAGCAAAAATAGATAATAGTAGGATCCTAAAATAATATAGATAGATCAGGTTTGAGTTTGCTTATTTTTGACCTTTTTTATATAGATTATTTTTATTAATAATAATTTGTTTGTTTATTTTTGACTTTTTTCTTGCAAATCTTTTTATATTTAGTAATTTTTATAAAATCTTCTACCTCTATATATATTTCAGGTTCTATAATAGTATAAAGATAAACAGCTACAAGTATTTGTTCTTGAACTCAGTTTATATATATAGCATTTAGTATAAAACCTATAGTATATTATTTATTTACAGACTACTTAATAAATAACTAAAAGTTGTATATATAACTAGTTGTACTCTCTAAATATATGTATTGTATATTTTTACATTATAAAAATTAAACTATAATCAAATAAAAAAAGTATATCTAAGAGACCATTTTAATATTAAAAAAAAAGTTTAGTTTAGATTTAATATTAATCTTTAATTCAAATTTAGAACTAGTTTAAAAGTTTATAAATATATTTAAGCTTTTTTTTATCAATTAACTAGTATCTTGGGGTTCAGGTCCCATAGCTTAATAGTTAAGCTCCCATCTTCCCACAGACAAGGTCGATTATTTGAGTTTGGCTGGAAGTAGAATCCTCTGTAACCTAAAAAGGAGCCTTTAATGATATGCAAAGTTCTGTGGAAGTCCATGTGAAGGTACACATTTGGATTAAGGAATTCCCAGAAAGAATCCGGTATAGCAGAGCATGGGCACTACTATAGTGAGAAATGTGAAAAATGTCGCTGATGTTTGTAAAAAAGATTGGCCTTACCTGATATAGAATCACCTCTGGCACAATAAAATCTAAATAAGGTGTAGCTGTGAGAACTATCTCTTTTAGTAAAATTTACCTCATGGGTAACATAGCCTGAAAGTTGAACCAAGTATCTAAATTAAAGATCACATGAGCAGAATAATATTAAAAATCAGTAAGTTTAAATAGGGAACCAACAAGCGGGTTTTAGGTATGGCAATAAGTGGAGAACCTACGGGCGGAACCCTTAAATAGACAACGACTAAAGTTATATGTGTGGCTTATTGTACCCTCATTGATATGTTACTGTAAACCCTTTCATAAAAATACAGGCTGTAGATACTTTAATAAAGAGAAAACACCTGACAAATGAGGTTATTCTATAAACCGTAAAAAAAAAAAATAAAATAAAATAAAAATTAACTAGTTTCTTTGGGTTTAAGATTTTTATTTAAGTTATTAGAGTAGGAAGGCTCACAATGAAACTCTCTATTATATTAGTACATCCAACTACATATATACTTTTAGTGTTTAATTTAAATAAACTACTTTCTATTATAGATTATATACTATGTGCCATATCTGTAATCTAACAACAAATATTATCTATTTAAACCCTTTGTAATATAATTTGACTTGTATAACCAGTATATCTCCACTATAGTTATCAGTTAAAAGAAGTTTTAGATACTTTTCTTATTCCTTTAAACCTAATTTATCTTTAAGATATTATTACTAAAGCTTTTTATATCTACAATCTAGCTAATCTAAACTTTGATAACCTACACTGAGTCTAAGAACAAGTATTTGTGAGCTGAAGCTGCTATTATTATCTACTTCTGCTCTTGTATAGTTGCTTCAAACTCTAATATATACTATACAGACTATCACTAGTATCTAAGTTTTATTAGTATCTCAAACTCCTAATTTAGATAGTTTAGAAGGACTGTTATCTGCTTCTGGTCTCTACAATTAGATCCTTTTTCTCCAGTTACTTTTACTAGCAGCCTAGTTGGTATGGTGTCTTTCTAAACATTCAGTTCTTATTTAGTTTACTGAAATTGGTATCTAAATTTCTTAGATAATTCTTTATGTAATACTATTGAATATCTGTAACACCTTTTAATTCAGAACTTTCAAAGCAGGCTTCTGTGTGCTGCAAGCTTCTAAATTTGCATAGCTGCTTTGCTCAGAGTTCATATAACTCATACATTAACTAATATTCTATAGCCTTCCAGTATAAGCTAATACAACCAAAGTTACAGATGCTGACCTGTTTTTTTATATACAATCTATTGTAACACATTCTGAAGAATTCAAATTTTGTTAGCAGTAGAATTCAAACTCTTGTCCTGCTACTTGAGGATGTGACAACTTACCAACTTCACTAAGTTGCCACACTCAAATATATTCAAGTTTTTTTTGTAGTTAAGATTAGCCTCTTTGGCTTTCTACTTTTATTAGATTATAGAATCATATAGTGCTCTTTTTAAGAGGGCCCAGACAAATACATTCTGATGAGGGTATATTCTAGCTATATCTGTATCATTTAAATATTTAATTTAATAGTCTGTCTATTACTAGGTTCTTTACTAGATGCTATATTTATAATTCATCTATTATTTGGATTATCTAATTAAACTCTCTGATCTGAGTTTCCTATGCAAATCCATCTAACCTCACCTAGAACATGTGACACATTAGTCAGTTCAAGTTCCAGAATAGTTGAATGCTATTTATAAAACTATTAGCATGGTTAATGGATTTATCCTCAAGTGCATCACCTGTTAGAGCAGTCTGGTACTCACTATTACCTAATATTTAGTTTACTTCAGTAACTTATACTAAGCCTGAGGACAAGTACTTGTAAGCCAAAGCTACTATTATTATCTACTTAGTCTTTGTAGAGTTCACTCAAACCTAATACTTTCTCTTCAAGACAATCCAGTACCTTCCTCTTATCTGGTCTCCTCAGACTACCAATTCAGATGGCTTGGGTAGAACACTAGTCTCTTGGTATGTGTACTGCAGATCCTTTTTCTCTGGTGATTCTGATGGCCTAGTTAATAGAGTATCTTCTCTTCGAATATCTAGTTCTTATCCATTTATTCCAGCTTCAGGTAAAGCCTATTTCAGTAGCCACTGTCAAAGGTTTGTGCTACCTCTCTACTCAGGTCTTACCAAGCAAACATCCATCTTTCTGATTTTCTAGATTTATATAAACACAAAGTCTTATCTTAGGTTTGCACCAACTAATATCAGTTTGTATACCTTTATATAACTTATATATTGTACAAATGCTCTATAGTCTCCTAATCTTGTTGATGCCACCAAGGTTACAGAGATCTTGTTCAAACCAATTGTCAAAAGACAGTAGCCATTAATTAGAATAATAAAATTTAAACTAAACATATATAGCTAACTATAAAACTCTTTGAAGCTATAAAAACTGAGCTTAAAACAATAAACATATTTACAAAAAATATTTATTTAAATTATTACCAATATTAGCACAACTCTTTCTAATGATCTTCTAATCAACATCAAAAACCAAATTACAGTAAAACAGTATAAAAAGCAATAAAATAACAGTCATATTAAAAAATATCTGTGGTGTAACACTAATTATATATATATATAGTAAATATGAAGATCATTATTAAAACAAATAAACAAAAAATTAAAGAAACAATTTAAAATTTAGCTTATATTAGGTTAGGGTTATAGCTAGAATTATAAAGAAAGATAAATATATAGCAAAATTGTGCAAAGAATTTTTTATTAGAACACAAAAGGTGGTTTCATAAGCAAAATTTTGAGTCATTAAAAGTTTTTTAAAAAAACAACAAAGTTTGTTTTTAATTTTTATATTATACCTAATCTTGATATTACACTGCAGATTAGTAATTTTATTGGTCAAAATTGATGTGGTGTTAGCATCACTGATGTGAATTAGTAAAACTATAAAATAAATACTAAACTTGGTTCTATAAATAGGAGCAGCTTGTTGTCAATGAAGTCTAAGCATCTAGATAATGATATACTGAGAAGCAGGTATTAAAAGAACAGACAGTTTTTCTTGAATTCAAATTTCTTCTGTAGCAAACTTTCCAAGATATTTGGCATCCAAACCAGAAGGTTTATTTAAAAAACAAGTCTGTAGAAGCAGTCAAATATATTTTCAAGTTAGTAGAAATAGAAAAGCTAAACTATACAACTGTAAAACTTACAAGAAGAACTTTATATATTCTTGTAAATCTAACACTTTTTTCAAAAAAATTTTTGTAAAAAGTGGATGTTTCAGCCTATCTCTTCAAATGATTAACAACCTTTTTACAAAAATAGTTTGCATTGTTTATCTTCCAAAATAGATATAATATAACTGAAAAAACTACTAATCATGTGTTTTATTTAGTAAAATATATTAGAATAAAGCAGTGGTAGCAACAAACATGTGTCTTAAATGCATGAAAATCTGTATCAATAATGCTTTGAGACTAAATACTAACCCTCTACAATATATGAGTTGATGAAGATTTTTCTGATAAGTTTTATTTAAATATACTAATTAAATAAAATTAGAGCAGAGGCTAGTTTATTTAGTAGTATATAATTTATAAGCCTAACACAGACTTATAATTGTAGTATTAAGATAGGCAAAATTCTTTTATATTTTTTTTTGTTACTCTCCTTACTTCTTTTTTTTTTTATTTATATTTTTTATTATAGCTCCTATTAAAGATGATAAAAAAATGTTTTAAACAGTTTTTTAACTTTTTTATTGTTTAAAACTTTTTTTAAAACATCAGCGTCTGATTCTAAAATTTGGCTGAAATTAAAATTATCGTCTCTGCTTGGCTAATTTGATTGTTAAAGAGAAATTTTTAAAAATGTTCTATATAATTTCGAAATTATTACATTTAATAATAATAAAAAATATATTTGGTTGTTTTAAGCATTTAAATGCATAATTTCACCTATCGGCAAATACAAACTTTTATTGATTTTAAATGCATAATTGCCTATTGGCAAATACAACTTTTATTCTGTACTAGTTTTACATTTGTTAGTATTGAAATCAAGTTACAATACATAGATTACTGCTACTTAAATTTTATAAAGTTTTTGAGAAAGAATTATTTGAATAACCTTTCCATATTAATTATAACTATCATCATCATTATCAAACCAACCATCATCTCTAATTTCTTTCCAGATTCTCAAATTTTGATAAATGGTTACAAGTTTTTTTATCCGTTCATTGTCTAACTATATATGAGTTTTATTAATATTCGAAAAAGTCAGCATGGATTGAATTCAGATTTGTGCAGATCCAAACTGTCGGATTAGGTTTGGCCCCTGAAACATCAGATTGGGTCTGGATTGAGCGGGATTGGGCCTAATTTTAGGTCATGTCTTTATATAATCACTTTATGTGATAAATTCGAATTTGTTATGTGATAAATTCGAATGTATCACATCTTGTACCACAATATAAGTGATAAATTCGAATTTGTTATATAATAAATTCGAATTTATCACTTACATTGTGACAAATATATGTGACAAACCATCGTATTAACATGGATTACTTTCAGATTCAATCCGAATTACAAATTCAGATCAGATTTAGATCAATCCCGAATTAATCAAGATTTTTAATCCATTTTCGAACACTAGCCAGAACATTTGCAAAAAAATACTTA